AGTAAGTTTCATCCAGATAACTCAGTTTAGGTGCAGATAATAGTGCCTTTAATGCCCACCCAGGGACACAGCACTTTTTCTGTAAAGTATTTTCAAGGAATCCCTAGTGCTGTATGGATATTAAGCTTCAAATGCCTATAAGTAAGTGACTCATGGATAGGAATCACATTGGTTATTATCACCCTCCAATCACCTTTGTAGTGGGACATAAAATGGCTGTTTAAGAGCACAGGGAGAAACCATAGAATAGTTTAGAACAAGATTTGGCAACATTTTGCAGCAGGGAGCAAGTTTAATGGAACTTAGTTCTGAGCATGACTTGCTTCCAACACAGCCTGCACCACTGCCACTGCCAGAAGCACAGCCACAGTCATGCAGCTGAAGCCACCAGTTCCCTCCGTAGTGCTGCTGCTGCCACTTTCCCCTGCTGCCTGGGCAAAGCTCCCTTCTGCAGAAATTTTGCCAAAAGTCCATACAACCAAAATGTCACAGAAGTTCCCTGGCTGTGCAGACCAGATAAAATGACTATTCTGTGGCCTATAGGTTGCTGACCTCTGGCTTAAAACAGACTATTAAAAAGCAAGCAGACAGTAAGCGCCTGTACTAAACTTTTGCTAAGATACACTGGTTTCATGAAAAGTACCATTGGGTATTGATGGATTGCTTATGTCACAATCTTGGTCAAACATCTCATGTAAAAGATGGAAGCTACTGCATCTGTAGTGAGCATGCTAAGTGGTGCACTGGCCCAGGACCATTGGCCCAGGATTATTTTGGGTTCAATAAACACAGGTATCCATGAATCAGCAGAATTAAACAACAAAATTTAATTCTGGAGCAGTAGGCAACCTCTGCAGACCCTTTGTCTCTGGATACAGGGAATAATAGTCTAGAACTATTAAATAAGTCTTTGAATTCCACATAAATAAATCATTGCTGATCTTTTCATATGCCCTGGATGGAACTGGAAGAGGCTGTAATCGCTCAGCCTGCCGACGTGTCTGAAACTTTAAGCAGGTGTAACAGTTTTCTACTATGTTTGCAATGTCATTATTGATCCTGGGCCAGTACATCACTTAGCATGCTCACTTTTTATATTTCTCTGTTCCTAAGATCCCTTATGGATCTTCTGCAGCATGTCCTTTTGGAGGCTCCTTGGTATCACCAACTTACTGCCTTTAAAAACTTTTTCTTCTACCACTGAAAGTTCATGCCTGCAACTCTAGTAATTTGTTACATCTGTGCTGCAGTCACTTTTGTACTCTGGACAACCTTTAACTATTATTTCTTTCAAGAGATCCAGTGAGTGCCTTGGCATTTAAGTCTAAATAGGCTTTCACTTCTGCCTCAAAGATCTTTTCTGGTTTCACAGCCAGATGTATAGCTTTAGAGAGTGCATCTGCAGTAAACATAAATTTACCTGGTGCTTAGGTCATAACTAAATCATTCTTTTGCAGCTTGATCATCATTCTTTGACTCTTCAAAGTATACTCATTTAATAGCTTGTTAAACAATGCTATCAGGGGTTTGTGGTTTGTTTCCACATACAGTCTGGCCATAGATATATTGGTGAAATCTCTCAGAGGCAATATGTCCAGCATAGGCGACGCGTGCCTCCTGAGGCTGGGGTGACATGGCAACTGCCTGCAGGTGGTGATGCAGGAGTCGGTGGTGAGGGCAGGCCAAGCAGGGACTGTCTGCAGGTGGCCGTGGCAGTGGCAGTGGCAGTGGCGGGGTGGTGTCCCCCTGGAGCAGATTGCTGACCGGGGCAGGGGGGGAATCCCCCTGCAGCTGGACGCTACACCCAAAAGTGCCAGTGGCACTTCTTGGGAGGGGCACCAGCGCTCTTCCTGCCCCCCCTGCCCCATCGCCTAAGCCAGTGCTCTCAGGGGTTGCATGTGCACCCCCTATGCATGGGAATTTCCCTGTAACTTCCTCTCAATCTGTGCATATTTGGTTTCTGCCTCAGTCATCAATTTGGAAGCACAGGCCACCAGTTGTCAATTGTCATATTCTGCACTATCACTACACCAACCCCTCACTGTGATGCATCTGATGACATTTTTTAGGTTTTCTAGGTGTACACAACGTTAATACTGGCTCCTGCAACAGCTGTTGCTTCAAAGCAGTCATATTTCCTCCTGTTATGCATTCCAGAACCATTTATTTTTAGTCTTGAGAAGCATCCTCAATGGCATTGTTTTTGATGACTAATTAGGTATGAACTTGCCCCCCAAAATTACCATTCTAAGAAACTGTTGTACCTCTTTCTTTGACTGGAGACATGGCATCATTTCAGTGGCTTTAATTTTTGTCTTGACAGGTTTCACTCCCTCAGCAGAGATTATATCCTCTATAAGAATAGGTTCGGTGACACCCAGCATGCACTTCATTCTATTCAATTTCAAATTTGTAACTCTAGTAGCCTCCAACACTGCCCAAAGCCTGTGACCATGTTCTTTGATGGCTCTCAAGATGATAATATTGTTGACAGAGGTGTCCACCCTAGGAATATGCTCATAAAACGTGTATCATTTTATGATATACCTCAGGAGTGGAGGTGAAACCAAAAGCTAGATGCAGAGATATTTCCCCTCCAAATGGAGTATTAAATGTACATTATGTAGAGCTTTTCTCTGGGTGCGTGTTCACAAGATGCTATGGCACTGTAGCATCCATTGGCAAAAACCATGATGCTGCCACTATGTTATCCAAAAGGAAGTACTAAAAGATGGCACAGTAACAGAGGCACCTTACGGCCATGTGTAGACACACCCTCTGTGAATTTCAGCTGCCAAAATCCTGAGGAGTCATCCAATTTACTGAAAAATCATGAATTTGTGAATTGGACCATAATCCCTTCTCTAGCTGACAATTTAAAATGTTCTTATTTGATAGCCATGTTGAGGTGTCTTGGATCAGGCATATATGTAACTGGCCATTATTTTTCTCCCCTGTAATTATGGAGCTTACCCATTTTGCAGATTCCTGGATTTTCTATATCACTTTTAAGTTTTCTGTTCTTGCTAACTCCGCCTTAAGTCTATCACTGAGAACAAAAGGCACTTTTATGTATGGCTGAATAACAGGAGGCACTTGCTTATTTATCTGATTAGTATGTTCACCTTCAACTAAAACTTTGTACTTTGACATGAGTGAGTGTCTCACACTCTGGGCCTGCAATGAGCTTAATGAGATTGTTTTTCACAAGTTGCCAGACCCAAAATTGGTGTCACTCCCATAGCTATCACAGTGAATGGGAGTTTGTATACTCTATTATTTATATTGGCTGCTAGCAACGCATCTAGGGCTGTGCAAAATGGCACCATTCTGTTTCGCCTTGAGTTTTGATAGTTCGAGGGAACAGTGTTTCATCTCAAATTTCATTTAGAGTCAAAACAACTGTTCTGTTCCATTCCATCAAAACAGAAAGGCTGTTTTGACGCTGTTTGGAGTTTCGCTGGGGATGGGAAGTCAGACCAGCTGGGCTGACTTCCCATTTCCAGCACTACATCGCACCGTGGTGGGAGCCAGCCCAGCTGGGTTGCTTTCTGGTACCCCCGCTAGATTGTGCCAGGTGCAGGAGGCAGCCTAGCTGCTAGATCGCGCTGGGGGCGGGAGGCAGCTCAGCTGGACTGCTTCCTGGGGCCCCGCACTTGATCGCGCAATCAAGCCTCTGGTGCGATCAAGTGGATGGGGATGCTGGATCTTGCGCTGGGGATGGGAAGTCAGCCCAGTTGGACTGACTTCCTATCCCCAGCCTATGGTCGAAATGTTTTGACTAGCCTCATTTTGTTTTGAGGCTATTTCGACTGGTTTTGTTTTGTTCTGATTTTGCTGTTTTGACCTCGAAATTGGTTGAAACAGAGTCGGAATGAAATGGCCGGTGAAATTTTGCACAGCCCTAATGCCATATCCCTTTTACTGGTATATTTGTTCCTGAATAGCTAGTCATTTTGGTGTTTGTTAGCTTCACTTTTGTTTTCAATTTTAATTTTCTATATTCAAGTTTGGGTAAAATGTTAACTTGAACTCCAGTGTCTAGTTTAAGTCAAATCATTGTCCCTTGCATGTCCACTGGCAAAATCCAGCCCTTCTCATTGATTTTGCTTGAGTCTATGACATCTATAAAAAACCCCAATTCTTCCACTTTATGCTTAACTGTATGCACTTGAGGTTTTTGTGTTTGGAATTTGCAGCATTTGCTAAAAGGTTCCTCTTATTACAATTAAGACAGAGCTTTTCATATGCAACACATTTGGGGCCATGTTGCTTTCCACACTTGCTGCACATCTGCCTGTTTGCTCTCTCTCCCGTAGCATTTTCTTTGCCAATTAAAAATTCTGCCCAGTGAGACGGCTTTTCTGGCCTCATTCTTTCATGCCTAGTACATGGATGACCCTCTTTGGTGTATCCCACTCTGAAGCCTGGGCCTTCACAGTCTATTCTAGGGGCAAGTCTCCCCCATGCAGTAGCCTTTCTTGTGTCTCCAATTCCACAGAGATATCACCAATCAGAGGTTCTATAAAGTTCCCAAAAGCACAGTTCTTACTTAGTCTCTTTGGTTCAGTGACATACTGATCTATACTTTCTCCTGCTGTTTGTCTGCACATAAGAAATCTGCGTATTTCAAGGTTCTCATTCTTTTTTAGCATGCAATACTCCTCAAATTTAGACAGCATTATGTATAACTTAACTGAATATTTTAGCTTCTTTCTGCTTATTTTAGCCTGTCCTTCCCCACACAATGCAAGAGGATAGATGATTTGACTTTGTCATTTTCCTCTTATGCCTCTGTGGCTGTTAGGTACTACTCAAACCTTGGTGTAACTCGGGGGCGAGGGCGGGGAGAGCGGGTTGGGGAGTATTAAGCAGCACAGCTGTGGCTGGTTAAAACCAATAGCCTGCCTGCTGCAGTGGGGTGGGAGGCAGCTGACAGTGATGAGTACCTGGCCTGGAGTAAATTAAAAGCCCCCAGGGAACAGAGTAGGAGGAGAGAGGGAAGAAGGTGGTGCTGAGAAGGTAGCCCTGAGCTGCAGTGTCCCCTCTCTAGGTCCAAGGGAGAACCCTAGCTGTGAGTTAACTCTTTGTTGTTTGTATGGTTGTTTGTTTAAGTGATTGCTTTGCTATAGATCTTGTTTTCCTTGTGGGAACAAGTTTGCCCCAGGAAAAATAAAGAACTGAGTGACAACATGATATACTTTATCTGAATGCCATCCAGTTCTGTGCGGTCTTGCCTTGGAGGTAGAAGGGAAGGTAGAAGTTATAAAGCTTCCATTATTATCTGTCCTTTTACTTAAACTATAACTATGCAGGAAGATTACTTAGGGTGACCCTTGTCTTTCCGTGTGGCTGCATTGTTCCACTTGCTTTCTGTTTCAGTTGTTACAACTAATATTCTTTCAAGCTCTTTCCCACTTCTGACACCAGGTAGTGATCACTGGGTTCAATAACACAGGCATACATGAATGACAAGAACTAAACCACAAACTTTAACTGTGGAGCAGTAAGCAACCTCCACAGACCCTGTCTCTCTCTAACTAAATACCTTATCTGAGGAATCATCTCCCAATTCCCTGCTTCTGCAGTCTAAGTAAGGGAGTGTCTCTAAGTTATAACTTCTTTCACTACAGCATCCTCTGGGGTTATTGTCAAGCACTGGGTCAGAAGAAAGAAAGACACCTATCAGTAACTATATCAGGAGCTCCATTTCTTGCTGTACCCCTTCTCCTGACCCAGCCAGGTATGAGCAGGCCTAAGCCTATTTTGCTTGCAAGATCTAGAATGATCAGTTCATAAGTAGTTACTGTTACATACCAGTAACAGCGGTCACATACCAGTTACTGTTAGACCAGGAAGTCAGATTTTCACTGTGATGGGCATTACTGTTATTTTATCACTTTAATACTGTAATATTTCACCTGATGGAAGGAGAAATAAATAAATGCATGTCCTAGCTTGCTGTGCCAGCAGAATTAGGATTTTCAGAGGAGAGAAATTCCAAATAGCACCTGCAGAGATAGCCCAAAAGGAAAGTACACATGCATGCATATACAATGTAGGAGAGAGACATAACTCTACCTCTAAGATGTTTACTTTTCATTGTCCAGGCTTTTTAAAACAAGCTCCAGTTGATTGGTGGCCAAAAGGAAATAATGTATAATAATATGAAAGAGGCATATTCAGAAGATTACCAGGAGAATGGGATGGAGAAAATGAGTGCTTCCACAAGTTTGACACTCTCTACCCGCCTCCACATTAATTTGCTTGGATGATCAAAAGTAAGAGAAGAAAGACAATTACAGCTCTTGCCAGACCCAGAAATAAAAACTTGGCAAAATGAGTGACAACCCAAGCAAAAAGCCAACAGTTAGCCTCTGGCATTTGGGCAGGTTTTGTGAGCTTTCTTGTAACTCTTGGCTTTAAAATAAATAAATAAGCCAGTCCCATTAACAAGGAATAGAAATCTGGTGGTTGTAATAATATCCAGCCTCACCTAGAGCAGGGGTTCTATTCTATTTCCTTTCACATGGATGGCAAAGGTCAGCTATTGAGAGAGACTTGTCATTGCTGCTGCTGCTTTGAGCGTCTGTGTCACTCTATTTCTTGCTGCTACTATTTCAGCCCTGAGTTTTATTTTTAAAAGCTTCACAATCCCAAGCTATTGGGAGAGGAAATATAAAAAAGGCACCCAGGACCAAGGTTAAAAGCAAAAATAAAGAGGGGGAAAAATAGAAAGGGGGGGGGAAAGGGGGGAATCAGTCCAATTTTCTTTGGAGACATATCGCATTGTTGGGGCTGTCTGGCAGTGCTCCAATGCTTCAATTGAAAGTGAATTTCTTTTATTGAATTCCATCCAGAGATATCATAACCTCAAAAGGCTACTATTACCCAGAGGGTTTTAGATGAAACCATCTGAGCGTGACTTTTGAAATGCATGGAGTCACAATTGTCATTTGACAACATGGGACCTGTCAAGGCCCCTTTTTCAGACAGACAAGTTGTTTACATAATCTGTCCCCACCCGAGCATCTTGAGGTAAATGCCCCTCTGACACTGGAGCTTGCTTTCTCAGCAGGTGCAAATATGAAGGAAGAAAAAATTGGCCAGCCCCATAAAGTCGCCCTTTAGCTTGTCATGCAAGATTTAAACATCAGAGGGGTTGCAGGTCACTGCAATACCTCTAGATTCCTGTGGACCATGTTTCCTGCTTACAGTAATAATCCATGGTTAAAATAGCAAAGTAAAGGGCCAAATAATGGGAGGAGCATGAAGCCTGCTCAGGATAAGAAAAATATTAACTCTAGGGGGGAAAAAAAGGAGTGGGGTGGAAATAATGGTTGGGCATGGTCTTGAAAGGGGCTGAGAGTACCCTCTCCAAAGATATTAGTCAGATGGAGGGGTGTTGCTCACCTCCCAGGAGGGGCCCTACAACTTGTAGAATAAGTTTAGTGTGAACTTTGTGTTTTGATAAAAGCTGCCTGACCTGTAGGGGAAGATGGAGATTCTTCCTCAAACATGCAAGGAGGAAGCGCCTTCTTTTCCCCAGTCCACAAAAGGACAGTCATTTGTGTACGTTAATGTGTCCTAAACGTGGCAGTGCTAGGGTGGAGGAGGGACTCAGGATAAACCTTAACTGACCCATTCCTGATCAGTAGCACTGCTGCTCCTGTAGCCCTTGCACAAACAACTGTATGATAAACTCCACAGCTCAACAGCTATCAATGCCACCTCTGCTACACAGGGAGGGCAGGCTCTGCTACTGCCTCAGACCTGGGCTGGTTTTCCCATGTGGCAGAGGCAAAGAAAGTGGGGAATAGGATTCTCTGAGGTTCCTCCCATTGAGTATCTTCAGCATTCTTATGTCACTTGCTCTATTACCTCTGCCATGGAAAAAGGAGGAGATTGTTTTGAGAGAACTGCTATGGGCAAGGCCCATCTGTGAGATGTTTTTGACTCTCCATCACTCTGTGCCTGTTTTAGAGTGGGACTCAAATGCTACTACATGAAATTTCCCTTCTCACTTACACTAGTGGAACCAACTGACACTTGCTATATGCTCACTGTGTGCAGGTAGCAGTGATGGCATGAGGAGAAATCAGGCCCTCTCTCTTTTCATGCTGCTTCTTGGCACCCTATGGCTCTCTCCCACTCCCTGTCTTCATGGCCCCATGAACCGACAAGTGCTTCCCTAGCTGGTGGCTACCTCAGGAAAGTCATTGCAGTGAGTTCTGTTACTCCACAGTTAAGCTGAAGGAAGTGAGAGCAGAACTGGCCCCAACAGGAGCATCAGGAAATTCAGTAAATGCCCAACATCACTCAGGAGTTGACTATCTTGGTAATGAATGAGAATGTGCAAGGCATGTAGATACATTGCAGGAGGTGCTTAGTACCACTGATGACAGCTAAGATTAGGAAAAAGTGTCTAATACAATAATCCCCTATCTTTCACACCCACATTCCAAAGCATGTACCTCCAGGCCAAAACTCTTAATGCTTAGTCCCTCTTTCAAGGTTACCAATGAACATGCTCCTTGCTGTCCACTTCCTCCATCCCTTTCAAATCCCTGCTTTCCAGGGGGGTTCTCCAGAGCACTTGCTGCAGCCTCACGGCAGAAGGTGTGCAGGGACTTCTTTTGGATACTGCTCTGAACTTCTGCTCCCACAAGGGCCAGTCCCTCTATAAGCTTCTATTGTTCTTGCTGTCTGGCTTAGGGGTTTGTATGCTGAGTCCTCCATCAGGCGGTTATGAGTTCAAGGCTAGGTGCATATCTAGAACCTGCCCTAGACAGGGGGCATATACAATTCTCCTTCCAATGGTGGTGTAGTCACCTACCCTGGAGGTTTTCAAGAAGACGACTGGACAGTCACCTTGCTGGGGTCACTTGACCCCAGTTGTCTTCCTGCTGGGGGGGAGCTGGACCCAATGATCTGCAAGGTCCCTTCCAGCCCCCAACCTTAGCTAACAATGCAGATGGCCTCTGTGACTACACTCTGTTAGGTTAAAACTAGTGTAAGGAGGAGCCAGACATCAGGGGATTTATATGCTTTGTGCCATATTTGAATGTAAAGGGAAAGATTGCAAGGAACCCCTTTTTATTAATCTATGCCAAGGGGTAGACCTGCTCTATAGTGCAGGGTATGGCTCTCTTCCTAGTATCATATGAGCACTTATTAACTTGATTACTTCTTTGGCATCTGGGCAGAGCCCTTATCTCCCCTGCATTTTACTTGTGGAATGTTAAAGATTTTTTTGTTGCACTTCCACAGTGCATTGTGGCTGTGGTACATCTGAAGGGCTGAGTTTAAAGACTTTTTGGATAAAGGGCTGCCTGAAAATTCAGGCATCTGGACTTGATGGCCTCTCTTACAAATCAAGAACCTAAGGAAGTACACACAATAGTGATGCCAGATTCTCCAGAAGGGAAAACAAAGCATGTTGGCCAGCTAACCAAGGACCATGTGGCAAGAGTGCAGGGTTCACACTAAATGAAAGTAGAAATGCCTGCTCTGGGAGCCAAAATCCCAGAGACATTTTAGCTTCTCCAGCTCTTAAAACAGCCAGAATGCCTTCAAGAATAGCTGCTGTGCTGGAGCTCTGCCCCCTTCCCCTGTTCATCAGTCTGTGGCACTCCTAAGCATGCCCTGCATCAATGCTCATAATAAATAAAATGAACATAATCATACCAGAAAGAGACAGAACAGAAGAAATCCACTGCTATGAGACACTGCACAGCTGTAGCCAGAAAGCAACTCCTTCCAGGAAACCAATTTCCTCAGTCCACAATGAAACGTGGAGACTCTGAGGTAAAGTCAAATGAAGTAAATGCAGAACCAGAGTCTAGGGTCTATCTTTACTAAAGGCAAAGAGAAGTGAGCAAGAAATGTGAAGTAGCCCTTAATGGCATGGGTCAGGGGCCGCTTCTACAGGAGATGCTACTGCACAGTGGTTACTGTGCATTTATTTAATGCAAGTGCTAAATAAATGCACAGTATCCCAAGTTACTGCACAGTAGCACCAATAAATATCTTTTTTGTGACGCTACTGTGCAGTAGCCTTGCATCACAGTTTTTGCCATGAGGCGCTACTGCAAAGTAGTATCAGGCTACTGCTCAGTCAGTGTCTTGTCTAGACGCACCTAGGTTTACACAGACTCAGACAATTGGAGATCATAAAGTGCAAATAACTAAGGGGAACAAGTCATAAAGCATGCAGTAACAAAGGTACATGACAGACGGAGAGGGGGAGCAAAAAGCAGTTAACAGTCTGAAAGAAAGAAAAAGTAATGTGACTAATAAAAACAACTTAAAACCCCCAAACAACGAACACAAACAGAAGGGCAGTCACATTACACATGTTTGCAGCACTTGGCATCCCTGAGGATGAAGCAATGGATCAACAGTGGCAGCAGTGGATGAACTGGTTCAGAAATCTTTTGGCTATAGCCTGAAACTTGAGGTCCAAAGTGACAAGTTGTATTGTGTGTGAGAGGAGGTAAATGTCATTTATGATTCACTGCTTTCCAGCACCCCTGGCACAGATAAAGATACCATTGATAATGCCTCGAGTGTCTTGCCTTGCCAAAAAAAAAGTGTATGTGAAACATTTGTCTACAGGCTAGTGAGACAAAAAGTAGGTGAAAGAGCAATCAATCTGAATTCTTCATTACTCCCATTAGCACTTCTGTGTAATTTTTCTGTTATGGATTATGGGATAAAGATGCAAATTATTCATCAATAAACTTCTCAAGACAGCGCCTGGTGAGTCAGAGCTTACATAGGAGAGGCTGTAGGCTTGTGAATGAACAATGGAAGTAGTGGGATCACAAACCCTGGATGTGAAACACAATCCGCAACCTGTACGTATGCTGAAGCCATGCCAGCCTGTCATCCCATCAAGCCAAAATTAAACCAATGTCTGATAACTCTGCTGGACAGATAGTGGCTCAAGGAGAAGTTGATACTGACTCAGAGAAGATGAACACATTTGCATGATTTCAGAGACACATGCAAACCTCTCAGAACTAATATTTGTAACCAGAATGGGAAGAGAGAGAACTTCTCAAGGGTGCCCCTGCAGCATCATGTACCATTTGTCCATGTGCAAGTAGAATACAAAAAAAGTGATTCTGAAGAGTCAATGTGAAGAAGCTGGAATACAAAGGAGAACTGAGATTTTTACCACCTGCCAACTGAAAAGAAAGGGGTTGAAAAAGAACTCTCAGAGATGCAGGAAATGTGGATTTCCAAAAGGCAAAAGTATAAAATATATTAAAGTGCACAGAATCTTAGTGTGGAACCAAACTTCTGAACACAAATGTAGAGAAAATACAAACAGAATAGCCATAAAAAGCCACCTGTATTGCAATTGAATGAATGTATGGCCATTCATAGTTGTGCCTGTCTAGCGTG